AGAGAGAGAGAGAGAGAGAGAGAGAACTGGCTAGTCAAATGGAATAAACATTCCTCATTTCTGGGTCAGACAGATATAAGAGTGAGGTAGTATTTTCTCCGGAGAGCAATACACATTTACACATCTATGGAAGATTAGATATAGAGAGAACATCAGGATTTGTTTCTTGCTCTCTGTCTAATGAAGTGATACAAAAAATATGGAGAATTATTGGCTTAAGAAAGCAAATGTTCATATAGCAGTAGGATATATCCTCCAAATTCTAAATTGTATTATTTTTCTTGTCACTAAAGATGCAAAGGTGAAGAGCCAAGGGAACCTAAGGACATGTCCAGCTAAGTCAACTGAGGACACTGTTTTGTTTATGGTTTTCTAGAACTGGCATCAGGCAAAGGCTAACTAGGCAGTTATTCTCCACTCTCTGCTCTTCTCACTTCAACTATGTAAAGAGCCTCTGAGTGTTCAAATACCACCATTATAAGTCGAGTTATGGCAGCCTCTGTCCAGACAAGCCATTCATGGCTGTAGACTGAGATCTAAGAATGGGAATATACTGTGATCAAGTATCAGTGTCTGGGATAGCTGGGAAATCAATGTGAGACTCTGTTTGCTCCCGTGGGAGATGGGGTACAGGCATTAGCAACTGGAGTAAAGAACAAGCATGAGCTTAGTGTTTGAAGGAAACCTGGAGCCTTCCATCCAAAAGTTGACCCAGTGAAACAAAGCCAGGAAGAAACAAGGCAGAAAAAAAGAGAGAGAGAATCCAAGCTCACTTTTCTCTTTCTGACTTCAGTGCATCAATAATGACCTCAGAGGGGGATTTCTGATTCATCTGCAGCTAACGGGGCATGCTATTTCAATGGTAACCTAAAGAGAAAGTGCAACAGGGGGAGGATTGAACAAAAACCTCTCACTTTCTTCCATATTCAAATTATTTAAATCTCAAGTTCTTTACATCTAATTCATGAAAAGTCTATGAATATTTTTTATCAGAAAGAGACTGTCATCTCAGCTATTTGGATTGTACCTCTTAAAGATTAAAAAACTCATCACAAAAAATGTGGCACTTTAATTAAATACACATTAAGTATGTTGAAGACACAAGGATTTGAAACCAGACTTTTAAAAACTGAGCATTTAAAGCCCTCTCCTTAAATGAGAGGGCTACCTGTTGTTCCTTTTTCTAAATAAAACACAATAAAATAAAATCCCATTCTTCCTCTTAAATTTATGAAGAACTTTGCCAATTTTGGAAGGAACTAGAGCAAATAAAATTCTCACCCATCATTGGTTGCAATGGATGCTGTTAAAAACAGGAAGGCAAGTCATGGAAAGCAACCAAATCACCCTTGTGGTTTTGTCTCTGCGTATTCAGGTTCTTGATGAAGCTCTGAAGATCTGCAATTACATTTTCACTATCATCTTTGTCATGGAATCTGTTTTCAAGCTGGTTGCATTTGGGTTTCGCCGATTCTTTCAAGACAGGTAAGTAGTCATTTGATAAGTGGTACTATACGTCAATTATGATGGTCACCATCATGGGAAAGTTCCAACATATCTCATTCCTTTTTTTTCCTCAAATCATGCTGGCATAACATGGAGCATAAGAAGTTTATGGCCGGAGTACTCCATATTTCCCATTGTGTCCTCTGGATTGCAGTTACTACATGCAAGGAAGAGGTGGCCCTGTTGAAAACAGCGGGCTTTTCCTCTTGCACAATATATTAGTGGATCCCACCACCATCCTTACACAAGCAGCAGGGAAAGAAGAACCACACATGGAACAGGCTGCGGTTAATAAGCAACATGACACTGGCGCCTGTGTGTGTATAAATAAAAGGATGTGGAGAAATGAATCATTTTCTTTCCTCTTGCCTGTGCTTGATTATACATTGCTTGTTACTTTATAGATATTATGGAATCAAATGGGCAATAGACATAGAAGGGTAAAGTGTATGTATATTATACTGTTGATACTAGATCAGTTAGCTATGGCCTGTTAAAACGACCACAGTTAGCTATTTCTTGTAACTACCGTGTTTCCCTGAAAATAAGATAGAGTGTTATAGTAATTTTTGCTCCAGAAAATGCATTAGGGCTCATTTTTAGGGGATTTTTTTTTTCATGTTCAACAATCTACATTTATTCAAATACAGTCATGTCATCTTCTGGTTGCTGCACAAGGGTGGAAGGCAGGGTTTCACTTAACTAGGGCTTACTCTTGGGGTAGGGCTTATATTGCGAGCATCCTGAAAAATCATACTAGGGCTTATTTTCAGGTTAGGTCTTATTTTCGGGGAAACAGGGTAGTGTCGCTGCTCTGCTACTTCAGATTATCCAGAATATACCACTGAATCTTCAGTGGTATAATCAATTCTTTTTAGAATGAGAACATTGGTGAACGTTCATGTCATCCTCACTTCCCCAAGCCTAGGATTCTCCTAATCCCGCTATGTCACCTATTCTTTGTCAGTAACACTATTCTGACTCCACACCATTGTTAACTCAGCATCTGAGTATCCCACTGGTTCACATCCAGTGGTAACATACCATAAAATTTATATAGGTGGAGCAGAGGCTTTTCATAACAGTTCTTATGAATTCCATTTCCCTTGATATCTAAGTCTTCCTGCAAGAGTGTTATGCCCTCTCCAAAGAGCCAGATTATATATGCATGACATGCCAGTAGTAACTTTAGATGTTCTGTTTTTCCTAATCCTGCCCCCATCCACCAACTTAGTGTAAATGGTAAATGTAATAATACTATGTCTGTGAAGATACAAATACCTTTTCTATAGAATGAGGCTGTTGATATTGCATCCTCACCCTACATGCCTTTTAAATCCTTCTCTGCATGAAAGACCAGAACATCTCAACAAGCTTTGTATCCCTCTCTTTCTTTGACCCCATTCTCTCTGATCTTTCTACGGGACTTCCACATAACTTTAAGAACTTTCCTTCTAAACTGATCTCCAAGAACGTTCTCTCTCTATTCTGCCTTATTATAGTGGTTGAGCCTTTGGGCAAATTTGTTGCCGTTGTTGAGAAACACCAGGCACAGTCAAAATTATAAAAACATTGACCAGGATTATACAACGGATACAAGTTTTAACCAAAAACCTAAGTATCTGTTAAATATCGACGCAGTATGTATGCTGTTCCTAATATTGCTGTTTTTTGTAGTTGTGATGGTGTGATTTCTGAGATCTGCTACCGCTTATAGTACTGTGTGAAATTTCTTGATATTATTCCCAAAGCCCTGATGACTACGGGGACCACTGAAGTGTGTTTCATCCACAAGCCAGATGTTGTTGTTGTTGTTTTGGAATTACTCTCCCTAACTTAAGCGAGAACTATGGAAATTTAGCTTCAGTAATATATTTACAGAAAATTAAGCCAACTCAGACTTTCTTTTATCATCTGGGTTGTGCTCATTAATTCAGTTTCAGCTTTGCCCTTCCCTTTCCAGCCTGCAGTGTGTTCAGACTTAACTAATAATCTAATAATATATCTTTTGTTTAATGTGTTTCATCTTAAAATGGCTTGAAGTGGAACATCAGTTCCAGAGTGCAAGAATGACTGAAACAATTGGAATTCCTTTGCCATGCAAGACTCCCATTTTGCAGATTTTTCCCCCCGTTTGATCTTTTGTGTCACCTTCAGATGGAACCAATTAGACCTGGCAATAGTGCTCTTGTCCATCATGGGGATCACACTTGAAGAGATTGAGGTGAATGCATCACTACCGATCAACCCCACCATCATCCGCATCATGAGGGTCCTGAGGATTGCTCGAGGTCAGTCTCTCTTTGCTCCTGGTGTGTTCCATCCACATCGCTTTTGGCCCCACAAAAACTACTAATTTCTGGCTTAATAAGGTTTCTCATACAGTAAGGTTGCACTTCTGGCATTTACTCCTCTCAGTACATTTTGTCCTGCTGTGCAATCTTATTGTTAGCTGCAGAGCATCCAAACTCTGCCAAGCTGCTGCTGGCAAGGCAAAAGTGAGGAAGAAATGATATTGGCCTCTTTTCCTCTAGGTTTTTGTTATCTTTCTATGTCTCCATATGGTGGGGCCGGGAAGGCACGGGATCCAGCAGAGATGCAAGGCCTCTGCCACTCCACTCATGCAGTCGTCCTGACTCACTTTCAACCTCTCGTGCTGCTGGAACTCCAGAATCCAAAGAATTAAGGGCCACGGAAGGTTCCACCGAGGCAGGCAGGGAGGCCTGTGGTCAAAGTTGTCTCAGATCTTGTAGGAAAAGATCTGTAGGAGTTTTGCCACGGTTCAGGATAATTCTGTTCCAGGATTGCTAGAGTTGCACCAACACTTATTTGCTTAGTATATTTGTATCCCACTTCTTCAATGAGATCATGGTGACAAATGTTTTTCTTCCTCTCCCACTTCCTTTTTACCTATGAGGTGGATTGGGAGAGAGCATAACTGGCCTGTCAATGGAGATCTGGGCCTGAGTCTCTTTTTCGTAGACCTGACAACTGATCTCTGACATTGCTAGCACCATCTCAGCAGCACCCAATTTAGTGAACAAAGGATACCGGGGTTTATTTCTTGAAGTCCTTGGCCAGACAGTGATGCCCACAGGGTTCTGACTGTTAATGTCCTGACAACAACAGAGCATGCAATTGAACATGGCTTTGCATACTCGTCTCCATGAAAGATGCCTGATGTGACATTTCAGCAAGCTGATGGGGCATTATCTGTTTCATACACTAATGCTTTGGCAATGATATAATGAGCATTTCATTTTCTGCAGTGCTGAAATTGCTGAAGATGGCTGTAGGGATGAGAGCTCTGCTGGACACAGTCATGCAAGCGTTGCCTCAGGTAACCTTTCTATTGTATCACAATGAACTCCATTGAGTTCCCCTCATTTGCTCATTGCCTTGAAACATGTGAGTCCATTTCTACATTATTTGTTTGCTTCCCAGTGGTGGTTGTTATGGGCTAGGTGAGAGGGCTGTTAACCTTTCTAATGGCTGAGTATCTCTTTTAAAACCGTCATTCTTCTGTTGGAAGTCTTTTACATGTTGGTTCAATTTATGTTGTCCACTGTTTTAATGTAGTTGCCCATTTGCTGCCCTTCTTATGTCACAGCAAGCACATGCCCCCCCTTCTCAAGATTATAGCCTTGACTTTAAAAAACAGCAGCTACTAAATAAATGCATTGCCAGTTCTGTGCAGACATACACACACTCAACAAAGCAAGGCCTTTATGTAAAAGAAAAAGGAGAAGAAAAGAAATGACAGTCTTATCTCCATAGGATTGCAGAATAGCTCAGATTCGGTAACATCAGAAACAATTCATGCTCAACCTAAAAGAAGGAAATTGAGCTAGATGTCGTTGTTGTTTAAACAGGAAAAAAAATCAAATTAATAAGAATGAAAGGAAGGAATGAACCTGTGCAATCGAATAGAAGGGACCACGCAGACCACATTGGCTGGGGGATTCTGAGAGATGCACTCTCAAAAAAGAACTTTGTCCAAGCTTGGAAATAAATAGCATGGTTGTCCAGGTCCAGCCTACCTTTAGGCAATGTGAGAGTTGGCAAATGCTTGACAGAAGCCATGGTATCCCCCTCATAGTAACTCCTTCTATCTCTAGCAATTTTCCACATAGCTTTTCCTGCGCCCACTAAACTGCTCTTCTGCTTTCAGGCTGGGGTGGAGATGGTTGTGATCCTGTTGAAAATGTTGCAGCAAGAGCTGCCAGTATTTTTGTGATCTGTATATGCCACAGAGACAGTGCACTGCCTTGCCCTTTGTCTCTGATATCAGAATGTCTTAGGAGAGCCCAGCATTTGACAAACGATGAACAAGAGACATTTTTGGAAAGTCAGTGCCAGTTTAATGAGGTACTAACTTCCCACAAAAGACTCTGAGGTGAAGAGCTAATTGCTGTCCGTCACCTGATACAGAGCGAACGAGACAGGCCATTTCTGTATTTCCAAGCAGGAATTATATGAATAAATTAGATGGCCTAGACTGAATTAGCCTAGCTGTGGGACTGAAAAAAACACAACAGAAGGCTGCAAATCTCAGTGGTTGACTGTTTTTCTCTGTAAGATGAAATAGGGATTTGCAAAATAAGGGACAATCCAGTGGTGCAGAAGCATTTAACATTTGTACAGAAGAAATACTGCACATTTAGTATTTGTATGCCAGAAATACCAGTGCAGTACTAATGGCATGTTGGTAGGATAAAGGTTATGTGATAACTTGCACAACAATGTAAAACATCCTAATGTTGCAGTCTTTTGTGTGTATATATATGTGTGTGTGTGCATGCAGCTTTTAAACACTGAATACTTCTGAATTTTTACTGAAGCAGATCACTGGTGGAACAGGCAAGCCACTAATATGTATGTGAGTGGCTGGAATAAAAACATTCCACAACAGTGTGTGTCTATGTATGTGCTTTTCTCACACACTTTGACTGTCTGGTATTGCAGACTTTCTCTATACACACTGTTATAGAAAGTCTTGCACTTGGACTGCTATTAGTGGCTATAGAAGGAGTTAGTAAAGCCAATGAGGAAAAGGAGATAGAGCCAGAATGTATAGTGGAGACTAATGTAGTGCATCCCTTGTAATGAGGATTGCTTGAAAGGCATACATCAGTGAATGATCTCTCTCTCTCTCTATCTCTCTCTCTCTCTCTCTCTTCCTTTCTTCCCTTCCCCTTACAGGTGGGAAATCTAGGTCTTCTCTTTATGCTGTTGTTTTTCATCTTTGCAGCTCTTGGAGTGGAACTTTTTGGAGACCTTGGTAAGTTCTTCACTTTTCCTGGCACCTAGAATTGATCAAAGCAGAACAAAATAGAAATCTATAAAGGAAACATAGGACTAAATTGTTTTTTGTTTGTTTTGTTTTTTGTTTTGGGTTGGTCATACAGAATGTGATGATACCCATCCCTGTGAGGGCTTAGGGCGACATGCAACTTTTCGAAACTTTGGGATGGCCTTCCTCACACTCTTCCGTGTATCCACAGGAGACAACTGGAATGGCATAATGAAGGTAAAATCCTTGTTGGAATTAATATGATTGAAGGCATCTATTTCTGTAGCTTGAGGAATGTGTTGAATGCATTTAAGAGACCAGGGTTTAAATCTCTGCTTTGACTACAGAAGCTGAACAGAACTCTGCAGTTCAATAATATATTATTATTATTATTATTATTATTATTATTATTATTATTATTATTATTATTATTATTATTATTATTCAAAAAACACCAGGCACAGTCAATCAAAATTATAAAAATTATAGGAAACAAACTAGTAACTATTAACAATTGTTTTAAATTGGTAACCAAAGATTTTGGAATGACTCTGCTGAAATTAGTATGAGGAGGAAGATTACCTAATTTTCCTTCTGTATTATTTTACTTTCTTTCCTTAATGCTTGGTACTTTGCCATTTTTATACTATCTATACATTTGAGGTTTCTTGTTCATTGAATTCTATGAAGGTATATTTTTCTTTGTTACTTATTCAGAAGTATAACATCCAGATAACTAAAAGCAACCATTTTACCCATGATAGCTTACTTGCCCAATATGGTATTGTGGTTTCGTTTTCTAAAACTGGAGGTGACTGGAATTTATAATATGGTGTAAAAGTTGTGAGCAATCCATATGATTTCAACAGCTGCTGAAAAATCACATTGACAGTGTGGTTATGCCTCTACATATAATCCATCAATTCTAGCTTAAGGCATCCAGATATGACATGATGGTATCTATCACTGAGTTCTCTTTTGAGTACTACCTTCACTCTATCAAAGTAGTCCTTGAGAATGGTTTGAGATGTTCATGGATGCATTTATGGGTTTTCTGCTCCTTTAACCATTGAACCAACAGTTTTTTAGTAAGTTCATAGTTACTGCCCTGTGAGAATTTATCTTTTTTCATGGAGATAGTACATTTACAAACACCAAAGTTCATTTTGATATCGGTACTGTATTATTATTTCCATTATACACAGACCACCAAATGTTGTCCGAATTTAGTTCCTTCATTCCTAGAGAATCTAGGATATTCATAGGCATTTCCTTTAAAAATGTCCTGCTCCAGGAAAGACAGCCTTACTGCACTTGGTGTATCATGATCTTATTTATGCCTAGAGTGCAAGATTGATTTTCTAAGTGATAGTGATTGCAAGCCTTCTGTAGAGGTCTGTAGGCACACATAAGGAGTAGGTGAGCAGGTTCCAGAAATAATTATACAGAAACTTTCTGCAGGGCTGAAGAAGCTCATCTTCACAAATTCCACAATATTTTTGTCTACTCCTATAGAAACCATTTGAGCCTGACACCCAAACTGCAAATTCAAGTGGTCATTTGCCTGAAATCCTCTCACAAACCTGAGCTATTTCCGTTTCCTTCTCTCTGTTCCATCCTAGGACACACTGCGAGACTGTGATGAGGAATCCACCTGCTACAACACCGTCATCTCGCCCATCTACTTTGTCTCATTTGTGCTGACAGCCCAGTTTGTCCTGGTGAATGTGGTGATTGCTGTACTGATGAAGCACCTTGAGGAAAGTAACAAGGAAGCAAAGGAGGAAGCAGAACTAGAATTGGAGCTGGAAATGGAAATGAAGACAATCACCCCAGGCCAGCATCCACTCTCTGACCCTTTCGTGTGGGCAGGTGGCAATGGAGGAGAAAGGCCTGACAGCCCCGGAGGATATACTAACCCCATGCAGATCAAGATGGATTCTCAGCTTTCATTGGTCCACCCTATGGTGAGAATCTCTGGTGGTGGATGAAGTGGGGAGTGACCAATATCTTCTTAGACAATATATGTACCAATTCCATAAAGGAAGTCATGAGTGTATTGTTATTATGCAGAGAAGCTGTATTCCTTTCCCTCTGCAACATTCAGAGTTGAATAGAGTGAATTGCATGTATTCACCAACTGGAAATTTGTAGAGACTTTGGGATCTCAGGCACACTGCTTGTTCCCTATGGCCCTTACTTACTTACTTACTTACTTACTTACTTACTTACTTACATGTATGTATGTATGTATGTACGTACGTACGTACGTACATACGTACGTACGTACTTACGTACTTACGTACTTATGTACTTACGTACGTACGTACGTACGTACAGTATGTACGTATATATGTGTGTGTGCTGAGGGAAATTATACAAAAGGCCTTGGAAAAATTACTTCTTGGACTCCAGCTCAAAAGCCTCCTGTCAACTTAAATGCTGGTCATGCATGATTCTGGGAGAAAAGTCTTACAAAGTAATTTTTCCAAGCTCTGAGCATGATTTTTAGTTGAATGAGGGATGGCAGGCAGACAGTGACATGAGACCTCAGCTCACTTTCCCAGGTAGATGGCTTGCAAATATATGGTAGATTTTTTCAGACAAGTGCAAGATATAACTGGACATCTTGCATTTTTTTTATCTTTCCAGAATAAAGGGGAGTTTCATTGCTTGGTTTAAGGCATTTAATACATGTGCAAATCTGTGTCGCCTCAGTGGCCAGACATTTGAAAACATCTACAGCAAGGGGAGGGGAAAATTGGTTGATAATCCCACCTGAGAAAAGATTATCAGTTCCTTTTCCTGGTAGATTTTCTTCAGTGTATACTATTCAAAGGCTAAACACTGCCCTTTTATTGTCATTACATAATCACTTATAAACCATGAAACCCTTTGTGGTGGATAACCAGCTAATTACCAGTTGAAGGTGAGGGGTAAAAAGGGGAAGTATTACCTATTAGAATATCAGATGCTTGAAATTCTGAGTCAGCTATTTTTCTTTCAATCACAACAGGAAAGGTGTCAAGTATATTTTCTTTCTTTTGTTTTCTAAATAGGACTTTTGACTCATTTAAAAGGAAAAACCTTAAAATTAGCAAATTATTTCCTGAGCCTCTTGTGCAAATGATATTTTGCCACACAACACATACCTCCATTTTTCCCCCTTTTATTGAAAATCTCTGCATCCAAGTGTTGTTTGAATAGATGGTGGAAAAGGAATACAGCTCCTATAATGTGACCCTACAAAGTCACATAATTAGCATGCTGCTTTGCTTGCATGTTCCATAAAATATGTGCATGTTGTTCACAAAGTTAGAACTGCTAGGCTTCATGTCATCCCACACTTTGGCTCTTGCCTGTGTAGAAAATACTGCTTTTAAGTGATCAGCCATCATATTGCTTTAGAAGCTTTATGCTGTATATTAGTATTTAGCTGCAAGCACTTGAACGAACATTTCTGAAGCTGACAGCCTGACATTTGGAGATCAGGGTAAAATTTTCAAAAGCTTCTCAACCTTTTGAATTTTGTGTAAGTATTTATAAGATTAGATGGCTATTTGTTTCTGAAAGCTTTGATTCTGAAATCAGTGGGCCAGTGCAGCCTTTCCCCAACCCAGAATCCTCCAAGCATGTTGGATTACAAACCCTATCGTCCTCAGTCAGCATGGACAATGGACTTAATCATGTTGATATATACAATCAGTTCAAATACAGCTGAAAGTCTGGGACTGTGGGTTGCATTTGAAAGACTTGCATGAAGTCCTGAGGGTTGCAAGTGCTTTCTGGTGTGATGGGACTGAAGCTGCTTGTGCAGAAAGGTCGCTTCGTAAGGCTGATTTTTTTTTTGTTTATTTATTGAAAAGTGCAAGATCCTATTTTGCAGGCAGCTCAAAAAAGTATGTGAAATTTCCCATGTGGATATCCTTACGTTGCAGACATTCTAAGCAAAGCGATTCTTTTTACTCCCATTTAGTCATCCAGTTCTGACACCCAGCAAATTAATCATCCCATTCTTTGGGCCAAAGTTAAACTCGCCCTGTACTGAAATAGAACAGCATGTTTAGTCTTTCCTACTGTGTCACCTCTAGATAAAGGTATGCCATATTCTTTCTCTTCAAACCACACATTCTTCTAGAGGCCCACAGGATAGCACAGTGGCTTAAGTATCTGGCTGCGAAGCCAGAGGTTCGAAGTTTGATTTCCCCCCCCACTGTGTCTCCCTGACAGGGGCTGCACTTGATGATCCATAGGGTCCCTTCCAGCCCTGCAGTTCTAAGATAAGAAGATTTCTTAGTCAATATAATGCCACTGTTGTGTGTGGTGTGTTTTTTTTTAACTCCTACATCCCAGGCTGCTGCTTCTTGTTTCTCTTCCTACATAGCACTTTACCATTGTGGAAATGATGGGAATCAGGGCTTATTTAAATGACAACATTATGGGGTTGAGAGGGACATCTCATCCCTAGTACTTTTTTTATTCTCCTGTTTGGTAAAACATGTTGAGCATGGTTAAGCTCTTGTTTGAGAATTCCTGCTATTGGGCCTGTTCCCGACACAGAGTATTGATTCCAAATGCATTGGAACTACTAGACAGAAGAAACAAATAACTATACAAAGGGATATTGTAAAACCAGCATTCAGGTGCTGCTAAAAGAAGACGATAAACAATTAGTTACCCTTCTACTCACTCCACGTAATGTAGGCTTAAGTCATTTCATTCTGCCAGCATCAAGAAACGAAACAGTGGTCAAAAAGCCACTGCATTAAATCATGCTCTGTGCTTTTGAAAATTTAAACTTATATTCTTCTCTCTGGAGGCAAAATGGCCGGATTTTCAGAGGTCCTGACCGCTCGTATCAGGATGCGCTATCCAGTCCCACAGCACCTCTGAAGGTTCTACTCATCCTGGTTACAGCGAGGCCAGGGCGTAGCTTTGTCAGGCTTAATGCTGGGCTTCCATCCCCACCTCCATTTGAAATTGTGCACCTTGTTGTATAGTTCTGCTGCAGTTGTTCCCTGTCGTGTCAAGTATAATGGCCCTGAAAAGTAGCTGTCAATTAGTAAGAAGCTGTTTGTCAATTAGTAAGTAGCTGTTTGTAGTCACTTTGGATGAATGTAATGTGTCTCACCAGCCTTAAAGCACCAGTGTGTTTAGTTTTGGTCTAGTGTCTAGTATTGTCTGAGAAAGGTTCTGACCGTGGTATTACTGCACTGTTCTTTTTCCCTCTTCGTTTCTGTCTTCCCTTCCTTGCCATTTCAACCCCTGTTCTGTCTGAAAACATTTTTTTCCTGTCTCTTTCTCCTTCCTTTTTCTGTCTCCTCTACATTCTGTTTTCCCCTCTCTTTCCATCCATCCGTCCATCCGTCCATCCATCCATCAATCCCTTTATACTTATCTCCCTCTTCCCCAACCCTCTCTCTTTGGCCTGGCTTATCCTTCTGCATGCTATATGGCACTCCTCCCAGGAAAGACACTTGTTTGATACCATATCACTGCTGATCCAGGAATCTCTGGAAGGAGAATTGAAGCTGATGGACAACTTGTCAGGCTCTGTGTGCCATCATTATGCCCTTCCAACTACTGACAATTACAACTCTGAGAAACAGGTTAATATTACTAATTTCCTGCAAAGTTTCTTTCTAAATTTGGATGGAAACCTCTTTGTACAAGAGTAGGAGACAGGGAGAGGAGGTATTCTCACTTGATCAAAACTAAGTCTAGCAAAGCTAAAAGTGGCTAAGGGTGAAATCAGGCAAACAACTATCTGGGAATATGTACTGTTGAATTCAGTGGGCTGTGCCTCTATATAGGCATATATAGACTGCAGCTTAAACTGCTTTTATGGGATAGCAAATGCATTTATTCTGCTTAAGAGAAGATGGATATAATTTACTTTGCATGTCGACTTACAAGAAGTTAGAGATTGTAATCCTGTGCCTGCTGACCTGGAATATAGTGGGGTTTATTTTTAAAGAAACATGCATAGGGTCATACCATACAATGTATAGATGACAGTTATTAAAGCCGCATAAAATATGCAAGCCTGTGTTCAAGTCTGTGGACTACATTAGGAAGCCAAGAATAGTTTGTTCACAAAGCTTGGAAGTACTGTAATGGGTTGTAAGTAATGTTGCTATCTGTAACAGGTAATTTTTTTGGGGGGGGGGCAATAATCAGGTTATTTTAAAAGTTATCTTTCAAAAGTGATGTAAGAGTAGGAACAGTGCTAGCTGGGGAGAGATAATCAGAAACATTCTTTGTTTACTTCTTTATTTCACTTTTTAGGGGTTGGAGGAAAGTTTACAGGAATGTCCAATAAGAATTTCTCAATTCTCTTACCAATTATAAGTTACTTTTTTAAAAAAAAGAAAAGAAAAGAAAAAGTAACAAGCACTGTTAACAAGTGACTTTAAAATTTCTATAACATCAAAGCTACCAGATGGGGAGGGATATTTTGCATCAGATTACATACCTATTTCTTAATGAATAATTTCCAAGTTCTGCCTGTTCATAACCAGAGGTTGGGACGCTAAGTATTCCTTCTCAGGGGTGGGGTGGGGGGTGGACTGGATTGCTGTCACTTTGTTTAATATATTCAGGTACATTTTGTTCAAAATCATGCTCCTAGGTGAGCCAAAATATTCTTATCAATTAAATAATAAAATGTTTGCTATTGCATTCAGAGAGAATACATACTGATATCCCTACTGATTGCCATCTGTTAGGAAACCAATTTGTTTTATGTTCCAGAAAGTACTTTTAAGGAATTTAGATAAACAAATTCATAAACCATCAGGGCCCTCTGTAAAAGTTTACTGAATGCTAGTACTGTATTGTGAATGTTGTATAAATGCAAAATGATCTATAATAAGCTGGTGAATTTTATTTTACATGGCACCAGCAGATTTTTAAAATATCCTACTGTGTTACCTCCCTTTATTTTCAGGTTGGTTTAATTGACATG